TCCCGGTCAAAAATGACCGCCATAAAGAAAAGGAATTAGTAACCATCCGGATCAGATAAAACACACACACACACACACACACACACACACACACACACACACACACACACACACACACACACACACACACACACACACACACACACACTAGACACATTTCACGCTCTTATGTGCCCATCCCCCCATGTGAATCAAACCTGGCACACAAACACACACACACAGAACAATTTGAGACATTTCCCGCTCTTATGTGCCCATCCCCCCACATGGATCACACCTGGCACACGCAATACATGTTCAGTGTCTATTCTTTGTATATTTACTGCAGTTTTTCATGTATACCAGTAGTCTGATACAATATGTACAGTCTGAACGGGTGTCAAATGAAATTTGTTGTTGATTAATGGTTTTTGTGTTAAAGGTGGGGTAGGTAAGTTTGAGAGACCGGCTCGAGATACACTTTTTGTTATACTCCATGGAATGCTCTTAACATCCCGATAGCAATGAATATCTGAAGTGCTTTGACAAAAAATACATTAAAAATCATCATCTGTGGAAGCCGTGGCGCTGTAAAAAGCACAACAATCATTTTAGCCGGCCCGGCTAAAATAACTGGATGGCCTACCTGCCTGTCAGCCTTCCATCTGTGCATAAACTTATCCCGTGCCCTCATTGGTCATGTGCGCGTTCGTGTGTGTTGGAGGAGGGGCTCTGTAAGGAAGTGGCAGATTTTTTCCGGCTGTGTATTTTCTAATTTTAGCGCGCTCGAGCTGGTTTCTCCAAAATGTCCTAACCCGCCTTTAACGTAATAGCAGTTAAAACAGGACCGGTCAAATTTGACCGCGAACACCAAAGTAAGGGGGGGGAACAAAGACAATAGGAGGGTTTTAATTGGAAATGTAACTTTCATATGGATGGACATTTCTAATGAACTGCAACTCAGGTTTGAATCCAGTAAACAATATCAGGTGTTGTTGGTGTGTGTGTTGTTGGTGTGTTGTTGATGTGTTGTACCTCAGAGCAGGGGTCAAACACCTCCAGATTCAGCTGTCGCCCATCAATCGAGAGCCTTTTATGGTACAGGGAATCTGTAACAAGGATCATACAGTATATTTGTATAGTGCATTTATTTTGTACAGACTGCTGATAGATGTGTATATAACTGACTCTTTGCACTCTGGGTAGACCCTCTTAATTTCGTTACACTCTGCTTGCATTATGTAATGACAATAAAGTAATCTAATCTAATACAGAAACAAAATGAATAACACAGAGTAATGTCAATAGACTTAAATATTGATTGAAGGTACAACAATCTAAACTCCTTGTGTGTTATTTTTGTATATGCTATATCTACTGCTGTTCTTTACCTCTTTTCATTGTCTGTTGGTTTGTATTATATTGCTTAAATAGACAGAACCGGACATAATTAATCACACGTCATCATGCACCTGCAGTTTACCTGATTTCTACACAGCGTTTTAGCATCTTTTGATTTGTTTTGACTCTGCAGTTTCACTGTTTTCAAGATTCAAAGGTTTTATCATCCTATGCACAAAGCTACAGTGTATGGCAATGAAATTCTTCTGACCTGAGCTCCTCCAACAATGCAACATATATAATAAAATACAAGATAAAAAGTAGTGGAAAAAGTCTATATACTGTACATGTCAATAGAATATAGGATATTTTAATTTTGCCTTAATATGTAAATTAAGACAAAATTAAATACGGTTTTGGTGCACATCCCCCTTTAAAATCACATATTAAAGGGCACCTATCATGCAAAATCCCCCTTTTCATGTCTCTTCTACATCAACATGTGTCCCCTCTGTGTAAAGAGATTCTGAAAGTTTCAGGAAAAAATATTCTCTCTCTTTTTGTCCTGATCCATTTCTATAAAAACCTGTGATTTTGGCCACTTTATGATGTCATAACGATGTTTTGGCTTGTGTAACCATTAGCCAATTGTAACCCCCCCCCCCCCCACACACACACACACACACACCTTATCACCTGAATCTCCTCCTAGAGCACCATTGTGTTCTTTGTAACCAAATCTCTCTCTAGAGGGGCGTGGGGAGGGGGTCCTTATTTTTGTCTGAAGTAACAGACGGAGAATCAGCACTTTGGAAACAGGGCTGAAACAGAGGGGATTATGGGTAATGCTGCAATGATCTGTTTGGTGTTTGGAGCCAAACACTTCAGAGACATGTTTCTATATATCTGAGACCTATAATATATTGATGAAGAACAGTATAGGGGACCTTTAATACTATTTTAATGTTCTAACTGCTGTATTCCCTTTGATTATGCTGCTGTCCTTGATTGATAATCTCATTATTGCTCATGCAGAATATATGCATGCACCTCTGAATGACTAAATAGCAAACAACCATAATATCTGGGGATAAACTCTGCTCTCCAAGTCCAAAATTAAAAATTAAACTAATTAAACCTCAATGTATCCAAACACTCACTGGCGTTGGAGGCATATTCCCCGATGAAGCGCCGGGTCAGGAACCGCACGAGGACAGCTGGAGGAAACAGACAAAATGGAAAAAACACAAACATTCAAAAGTATGTATGGATTTTCTGGAATGTGCATATTTGCCAAGCTGCACGGTTATATTCCCCCTCTGCATCGCCTCAAGACTTTGTGATAAACATCAAACTGAACAGCTTTGGTCCTCGCACAGGTAATCCGTGTCAATTAAAGGCTGCAGTTTCTCGTGCTGATGGTGGTCATGTGAGGATATACAGCAGGGGTTATGCTACACGCGTATAGATAAAGGCCCAAAAAGTTCCACATGCACAGTCTCCAAAGCTGAGGAGAGAACGGAGACGACCCATTGTTTTTAGGAAGGTTGAACACAGCGCAGAATACTGATATTGGCAACAACAGCTCAAAAGCAGCAACAAGGGTCCCTTAACTCCCCTCCTCTGCATCACCAGCATTTCAACACAATGCAGTTAAAGAATACATTTTGGATCGGTTTCAAGTAAGGAAGGAAGTAAGTAAGTAATTAAGTAAGTAAGTCAGAAAGAAAGTAAACAAGGAAGAAAGTAAGTAAGTCAGAAAGAAAGTAAACAAGGAAGGAAGTCAGTAAGCAAGTCAGTAAGAAAGAAAGTAAACAAAGAGTAAAGGAAGTAAGTAAGCAAGTAAGCCAGTAAGAAAGAAAGTAAACAAGGAAGGAAGTCAGTAAGTTAGTAATTAAGTCACTAAGTCAGTAATTAAGTGACTAAGCAAGTCAGTAACTAAGTGAGTGAGTAAGTCAGTAATTAAGTAAGTAAGAAAGAAAGTCAACAAGGAAAAAAGGATGTAAGTAGGTAAGGAAGCCAGTAAGGAAGGAAGAAGGTAAGTACATAAGTAAGAAAGTAAAAAATGAAGGAAGAAAGTCAAGTCAAATAAATGTAGTGAGGGGAAAAAGTGCAATATTTCCCTCCGAAATGTTCTGGAATGGAGGAATAAAGTTGCAGGAAATCCAAATATGATCTAGTAAAGTAGATACAAGTAACTCAAACTACAATATTTGAATATATTTACTTAGTTGCAGTCCACCAATGTAAATGATCAGAGAGAAAACAACAGGATAAATGCACAAGCTGAAAAGCAAATAGCAGAAAAACGTATTTAATGGACACACACATTAATGAGAAGTGAGACGTCCCATTGTTTTTATGACGCTTGAACACAGCGCAGAATACTGATATTGGCAACAACAGCGCAAAATCATCAACAAGGGTCCTATAACTCCCCTCCTCTGCATCACCAGCATTTCAACACAATGCAACTAAAGAATACATTTTGGATCTGTTTCAGGTAAGTAGGTAAGTAAATCATTAAGTAAGTAAGTCATTAAGTAAGTAAGTCAGAAAGTAAGGAAGTCATTAAGTAAGTAAGGAAGTCATTAAGTAAGTCAGGAAGGAAGGAAGTGAGTAAGTAAGTCAGTAAGTAAGAAAGTAAGTAAGTAAGACAGTGAGTAAGTAAGAAAGTCAGTCAGTAAGTGAGTAAGTAAGTAAATAAGAAAGTGAGTAAGAAAGAAAGTCAACAAGGAAGGAAGTAAGGAAGGAAGAAGGTAAGTACATAAGCAAGAAAGTAAAAAATGAAGGACACACACATTCATGAGAAGTGAGACGTCCCATTGTTTTTATGACGCTTGAACACAGCGCAGAATACTGATATTGGCAACAACAGCGCAAAATCATCAACAAGGGTCCTATAACTCCCCTCCTCTGCATCACCAGCATTTCAACACAATGCAACTAAAGAATACATTTTGGATCTGTTTCAGGTAAGTAGGTAAGTAAGTCATTAAGTAAGTAAGGAAGTCAGTAAGGAAGGAAGGAAGGAAGGAAAGAAGGAAGTGAGTAAGTAAGAAAGTGAGTAAGTCAGTAAGTAAGGAAGTCAGTAAGGAAGGAAGTAAGTAAGTAAGGAAGGAAGTGAGTAAGTAAGATAGTCAGTAAGTAAGAAAGTCAGTAATTAACTAACTAAGTAAGTGAGTAAGTCAGTAAGTAAGTGAGTAAGTAATTAAGTGAGTAAGTAATTAAGTAACTAGTTAGTAAGTGAGTAAGTAAGTAAATAAGAAAGTGAGTAAGAAAGAAAGTAAACAAGGAAGGAAGTAAGGAAGGAAGAAGGTAAGTACATAAGCAAGAAAGTAAAAAATGAAGGACACACACATTCATGAGAAGTGAGACGTCCCATTGTTTTTATGAAGCTTGAACACAGCGCAGAATACTGATATTGGCAGCAACAGCGCAAAATCATCAACAAGGGTCCTATAACTCCCCTCCTCTGCATCACCAGCATTTTTCACTGCAGCTAAAGAATAAAACGTGGAATGTGCTTCACTTCGCAGATTTAAGGTCACATAAACTGTGGAAAGTCTTGGATAATAAGCTGATGGAGTTCAGCCCAAAATACAGATCATATTACTAATGTAAACAAAGGTGGACCCAACTGTCTGTGAAATACTGAAAACCCAGAGGAAAGGTTTGATCTGTAATTACAACATAAACAGAGCCAGTGGCGAAGTATTTTAGCCCCTCTCTATCCAATGCAGAAATGGAGATGGCTATCCATGCCTTTATTTCATCCCGGCTTGATTATTGCAATGCTCTTTTTTCCTGCCTCAACAAAACATCGATAAACCGGCTACAACAGGTCCAAAATGCTGCAGCCAGATTGCTCACTCGGTCCAAAAAAACCTGCCACATCACTCCGATCCTTTCTGCCCTGCACCGGCTCGAACGACCTTATCCACCCTCACAGCACAACCCGGGCCCTGAGGTCCTCTGAGCAAGGCCTCCTAAGGGTGCCCCGAACCAGGCTAAAGACTAAGGGGGACCGTGCCTTTGAGGCGGTGGCCCCAAGGCTTTGGACTGAACTCCCCCAGAAACTAAGAGCCTCTGTCTCAGTAGAGATTTTTAAGGGGCAGCTAAAGACTCACCTTTCCCGACAGGCCTTTGGGGCGCCGGAGGAGGAGGTGAGTTAGTAGCTGTCTTTCATTGGTGTTTTATCCTATGTTTTACCTGCTGTGTTTTATGCCTTTTATTCTACATTTCATAGCTGTACTTTGAATTGTGTCCTGTGTACTGTATACTGTAAAGCACTTTGTACACTCGTGTTGAGAAGGGTGCTATAAAATAAAGTTTTACTTACTTTACTTACTCTAAAGGTATATGACTCTGATCGATCGGGCGGGTTTGTTTTACATTGCCATTCGTTAAATCCCCTCTGTGAAGGATAAGTTATAATCTTACAAAAGTCTTTCAAAGGTAGGAGTCCTCTGGAGGAATAAATCATCTTATTATTTCACTTAAATCTAAATAAATCAAACCAATAAACGTTTGTTTTTGTGCAAATGTTAGCTAACGCTGGCCTATAGCTAAACTTGATCTGTATTTTAGCCCCTCTAACGGTAGACTACCTGACTCTGATCAATCGATCGTGAGGAAGTGAGGAAGTGATTAGTGATGTCATAAACAGAAACAGTGGCTAGCTATTTATATCAATCTGCAAATTAACTAATATCACAAATGATACAGTTGAATGGAAATAGAAGGGAGATATTGGCTTTCAAATGTGTGGAGTAGAAGATGAAACTGTCATAAAACAATAAAATAATCAACATTTTACTTGAGTACATCACCGGACTTATAGTGCACCAAAATCATAATTTCAAAAACACTCACGGTACACAAAAAGCAACAAATATAATGTTTAAATGCCAGAAAGTAACATGACATGGAAGTAAATGAATAAAGTACAAATACCTCAACATTTGATTAAAGTTAGCAATGCACCAAAACCTTCGTCACAAATAACATGTTTTTTCTGTATCCATTTCACGTGCAATGTTTTTTTATACTCATGTATAAGAAGGTGTCATGAAATGGAAATACTGAAGTAAAATTGAACTTGAGTTGAGCATACTTTTAACATGACACCACTGTAAGTAGTATGCCCCAAAAGCATCATTTGAAAAACACTGACTGCACAAACAGAAAGTTACAAACATAACTTGTGATTGCCTCATTTAAAGTGTGTTGACTAAAGAAAGTATGTTTCTGTATCTGTTTGAAACAAAGTCCTCTCACCTGACTTCCCGGCCCCTTGGCTCCCCAGCAGGGCGAGCTTGATGTCGTTCATGTTTCAGATCCTCTCTCTCTGAGTCTCGGTCACTAAATGCTCCTCTCAGTGCAGACTGCATGTGAGTACAGAGCGTCCTCCTCCCTCCTCTTCAAAGGACTTAAACCCAGAGAGAGAGGAGAGGAGGGGAAACAGCCCCCCCCACTCTCTCCCTGCTCTCATTACTCTCACACTTCCTTTCTCTATGTTTTCTCTCTTTCTCCTGTATCCAAGAAATCTCTCCCCTCTTTGTATCCTCTCAATCCTTGTTTCCCCTCTTCTCCCTCCATATGTATCTCTTTTCCTGCAGAGAGGTTAGGAACAGGTCAGGGCTGAGTAAACTTATTGTGCTGCTCCAACAATGTGACTGTAGTCTGGCTTCTTTCTACGGACGTTCGTGTTATTCCTCTTTAACATAATTGAAGCCTTTTACCAGAAAAATAAAAAGTTATATTGATGAAAAAGGAAGTTTAATTGCAAGAATATACTATGGGTGAATGTAATGCTACCCTTTCTTAGAAAAATAACAACAAAAACAACCTTAAACAGCAAACCCCTCCCTCTCAACACATTTCATTTACCTTAATTCCCACATTTTTCACGCTTTAAGTGAAATATCCACTTCTAGCAACTAAACCATGATGGAAATTTTATTTTTATTTTAATGACGTTACAAATATCCTTTGCATTGAACTCAGTAAATGTAATAGAAATGTTCAAAAGGACTTTAAATGAGTTTAAGGTAGACTCAATCTAACTTAAAGGGGACCTATCATGCAAAATGCACTTCTTTCTGATGTCTTTTATACATAAATATGTGTCCCCGGTGCGTCAGGGAACTCACGCAGCATCAGAAAATAAAACCCTTTCTCTTTTCCTCCGTCCCCAAATCTTTTAAAAACGGGTGTACAACGAGCGGATACAGATTTGCTGCCGATATGACGTCAACTCGGCAGCGGACCCACAGAAAGTTGCCATCAGAAACAACGCCTGACGTGTTTTGGGCGTAATAATAATAATAATAATAATAATCTCGTCTTTGTTTACATTGGCAAGCCTCGTTAACACTCAGAGCTAACCTGTACTGTAGAGCACATGTGTTTACACAGCAGGAAAAACAAAAAGGAACTCACCTTGTGATAAACCTGCAAGAGAAAAAGCATTTGAGCTCCATTCTGTTTCAGAAATAATCCTTGATGTGGTTTAGAACAGGATGGCGTTTTATCACAGCAGAATTTAACTTTATCTCCGGTAGAATTCTGATCAGGCATTAGCTCCGCCTCCTCTCTTTTTTCGAGCTAAGGACCCAAAATCCGCGTTTCTCTAACAGGGCTGCAAAAGAGGGGTTTGAGCAGTATGAGGGATGGCTACAATGTTTGGTATTTTAAGCAAAAAACTTCACAGACATGTTTTGTATAGGTATGGCCCGACATCATATGTTTCCAATATAGCATAATAGGTCCACTTTAAGTAATACATATGAGTTTTGACTAACTACATTTTAATGTTAATGTAAAGCAAATTAACTTTTTTTGGTAGTATTTATTTTAGAAATATAATAACTTTAACTTTAAAATGAAAAAAACACCTAAACATGAGGAAATTGTGGGCCAAATGTTCATTCTTCGTTGAAGTGTCTGCAGGACTTTCATTATATCGTACAGTATTTAATTTTTTCACTTCGTTATTGGCTCCTGTAATTCAATAAATGGGGCGAAGCCTGCGAGCTAGTTCAGGCAGTCAACTCGAGCACCAATCAGACATTAACACGTGACGCACCTCGTCCCTCTTACAACCAACCAAACACATTCTCCTAAACATGCCGCTCTATTGAAGCTGCCAGGTCTTCCTGCCTCGCCTCTGCCTCGCTATGATGCTGCTGCTGCTGCTGTGTTCACGTGCTATTGCTGCGTTCATGTTCCTGCTGCTGTGTTTCATGTTGCTGCTGCTCGCCTGCCCCACCATCACCCCAGCTCCACCCCAGCTTCCACCTGTAGGCTCGGGGGATAGTTATCTAATCATCACTCAATGTTCTTTGAATATCTGTGGAGTGATGAGGCCCGAGCCTAGACGCCAAACTCAAACTATACGCTGCTTCTAATAAACATATTAAGAAACACGTGAGTTGTCTGACTGAACTGTGTTGTAGTACGTTTTATATTTTTCTCCAGCAGAGTTTTCTTCCATACATCGTGGCTCCATATTCAGGTAACCCAACTTTTGATATCCTCACATGCTGGAGTTACTGTTGCCTCCTCTGTGATGAGATCAGAAAACTTCCTGCTGAGTCCAGTGTTTATAATATTCTGGCTTCGAGGAAAGTCACATTATAAGAAACTGAATCAATATATTTGATTGAAGGGAAATGCAGTGATTTTATGTGGAAAACATTTTTGATGATTTTGGTTTTGTGTTCAAAATCAACTTCTGCGGTTCAGACTGAAGTAATAAGTAAAAGTTGAGGCTTTGTGTTAAAGAAATCATGAGAAGGCCGCCAATAAAATATTATTTTAAGCATCTGTCACAGTCCTGACATCAAACTAAATCGATTCAAACGAGCGATCCTTTTCCTTCAGCTTCGGCTGCCACACAAAGGGTGGCACATGTAGCCAATAAATCATACTCCAGTAGCTTCTAACTTCAGCCAACAAAATGAATATTATCCAGACTAAAACCACATTTCTGTCCTCTTGCATTCTGGGCATTTTGGGCCCATTTCCAAACCAGTTTCATTTGATCTTGTGTTTATATAGTGACATGTAGCACTCACGCTTCTATTGGCTAGCGCTCCAACACATTGTACTTGATACTCTAAGGGGCGTGACATCTCTAAGAGGTTGACCAATCTCAACAGAGCCGGCCAGCTAGCCAATCAGAGCAGACTGGGATCTGGTTTCAGACAGAGGTTGAAAAGAGGTGCTGCAGCACAGGCAGTATGAGAACAATAAAGAGCTTTTTTAACATTAAAGCATGGAGACATGTCACAGTAGACACACTAAATACAATGACATTACTAGACTTATGCATAAAAACTTTTGAAATGAATGCCACCAAATGTAGGATTACCAACGATACATTTTTTAAACATTACCAATGTAAACAAGGATTTTAAATACAGCGCATGACGTTAGTCTTTCCATCAAGAAAGCTGTCAATCAATAGAAATGTTTCCAAACCTCCTTTTTGCGAGTTTGAGCCGCTCTCTCTTTGTGTTGACATTAAGATCATGAAGTTGGATCTCTAAATTAAACAAAGCTGTAACGATGAAATGGAAACAGCCTGACCACTATATGTGTGTCCAAAGTCGCTCGTAATGCACGGCACGCAGACTGTATCGGCATTTTGAAATGTTTACCAAATCGTGCTCTTTCCATTCATCAATGTTATGATGATATCATGTGTCCTAAAAATCTTGCAGCAAAAATAATTGGGACCACGTTTTGTGGGGGTTCAGACGAGGACTAAAAACATGTCACTTAGAGCCTTCAAGAGAAAAAGGGGAAATTATGAAAGAATAAAATAAATGTTCCCTAATCAACATAATCTCTAAAGTAAGAATTTTAATCGCTGAAGCACCTGAGCTTGTGACCTCAATCAGCTGCAGAAAGAACGATATGCTCCAATAATACAGGAATTTTAAATAAAATCGTATGCTTCTCTTTGAGAAAACGTATCAATGGACATTCCTGTGTTGAAGACTCAGCCATCCATGACAGCTCTTAATCAGACAAAGAGGGAAAGACCATTTATCCAGCGCTGATCAACACGTGGCTGCAGAGGCTTTCACATGTTAGGACGACGTCATGTACACACACACACACACACACACACCACACGCACACACACACACACACGCACACACACACACACACACGCACACACACCTACACGCACACACACATACACACACACACACATACATACACGCACACACACCTACACGCACGGGGGGGGGTGCTAGTGGAGTATGAAGCCCTCTCTATCGCGAATGTCAACTGGGGGGTGCTAGTGGAGTATGAAGCCCTCTGTATCGCGAATGTCAACGGCGGGGGGGGGGGTGCTAGTGGAGTGCACGCGTCGCGTCTCAAACAAGCCTAGTTTGTTTACAAAATTGCGGCGCAACTTGGTGGACGGTACCCTGGAAAGAAATCTCTGCGTGAGAAATACAAGGTGTGGCGTGTGAGCGTGTGAATGGAGTGAAATGAGACTTGAGAGCTCTGACAACGTCATTGCATAACGTCTGTGCTGCAGCAGGAGTCTGTCTGGAGGTTTCTGTTTTTATTGTGAAAATGAGATAATCTATGTTTGATGGATGTGAAAGGTTATGTTGGACTGGGAATTTCATTATGGCATAGCTGGGCTAATTGCTAATGATGTAATGTTATAAAAACAAAACAATAACAATGTTTAGCGTGTAGTGAAACTTAATTCTTACACAAGAAAGGTAAAGTGGGTGATGCTTGTTTAGCACATTAGCCTAGATTAGCCATTATGTATTTGTCGTTTCATTTGCTGTACCCCATTTTAACCTTAACTTCTTTTTTTTATTTGAAGGCATAGTTTCATTTTACACGGTTCATAAGAAACCAAAAATAACAAATAAACAAATTAACATGACAAGCAAAGCCAACTGTGTTGTTTATGTCAGCGTAGCTTAGCCTAGCATCAGCTGAACTTCGAGGATTGAAAACTGTTGTTCACAAATCCATTGTTGAAGTCAAGGTGACTATTTCCACTTCCTATAATCAGTCTTTGATCTCTACCAAATCTTAAATCATGATTTATGATATAGTTTCTATTTTATTAGTGAAATGCTGGACTGCCTTTGCCCCCAAACTAGCAAAGAGTGCTGTTCTTCTTCTGCAAAACATCTCAAAACAGCAGCTGGGAGAAGGATGATGTCAGTATTGAAAACATGGGGGGGAAATCACAATCAGCCTTATTTTTATTTTTCAAGACAACCCCACCTTTGATTTTGTTTCAGGAAATGACATGATTTATGGAAAACGTGTTACTAATCTGTAGGCACTTTCACAGAAACAACACAGCTGACTTGAGAGTCGATCAATCATCTCCACAGAGGTTTGGCTCAGTAATTGTTCCAAGAAATCTGAGTTAATGTGGCTTTCATGTTTAAAAATTGCCCACTTTAAATCTAAAGCTGATGATTGTCCCATCTCGTGCCTGTTGGGTCATTCGTTCCCTTCACAGATTCACACAAACATCTTGAACATGTTACTGTACTGACGCTCAGTGGTACAGCCACCTTCATTCCCCTTTTTCTAGTTACCCCTCAACATGCTTCTCAAATTTGGGCATCACAGGAGATGTTCTCAACATGTTTACCCAGCTGAGAAGAGGCCTATTATGCTAGTTTTTAGGTTTCATATTTGTATTTTGTTCCACTAGATTCTACTGTGACATGTCTCCATGCTTTAAAGGGGACCTATTATGCAAAATCTACTTTTTCATGTCTTTGCCCTTGAAACAGGGCTGAAACAGAGGGGATTATGGGATGCTGCAATGATCTGTTTGGTATTTCGAGACAAACACTTCAGAGACATGTTTTGTATATATCTGAGACCTATAATATATTGATGAAAAACAGTATGATAGGGGACCTTTAATGTTCCTGCCATACTGCCTGGGCTGCAGCACCTCTTTTCACCCTCTGTCTCACACCAGTGAAATGTGGGGTTTTAGCCTTTGCAGACCATTTACATGCACACAAACATACACTCTACAGGAAAGGGGAAACCCCAAAAAGCACAATAGGGCCCCTTTAAAATTCAGAAGTGATACGACTGGTCTGTCATAGTCTTTAAGCTTATTCTTTTTGGAGGTTTCTGGCTTTATAAAACCATCCAAATATCATCATTGTCATTTTTATGTGTGACATCTCTGAGATTTCACTTTGAGATAAAAAATATGGTAAAACATGTCCTGACTTCCTTTCCTACCTTTACTTTGGTCATAAAACTAAAAGGTGATAAATGTTTCTTACACTGTCAGCACTCAACACAGTTCAAGGAAAACATCCCGCACTTATCTCAAGACAAGATTCAATTATCATTACTTGTGAGTGAGGCAATCAACAAATACAAAGAGTCCCAACTAATCTTGGACGGACACTTTTGGAGGAAGTTAATCTGAAACAACTTTCCCAAAGTGGTGAATGTGGAATAAATGACAAATATCGTGTGACTCAATGAGGCTAATGCATGCTCTTGAGATTGGTGTGTAAACATTAGATGTATTTTATCGGTGCAGCTGCAGGAGCGTCTGCTTTTCACTTCTTTTAGACAGTGATTCACCAAACCTCAGACATGAGGAGCTGCATAAGATGTTCTTTTGATGTTTTTAAGTGAAACATCTGCACATTACAACACATGGGGGAGAAAGAGACAGAGAAAGAAAGAAAGCCAGCAGACATGTGACTGGCTTTACTGGGCTGAATAAAGTGGGTTTAAAAGACACAAGAGGGGAATAAACCTTCCTTTGAAAACATCTCACGGTCAATTTCCCCCATTTTATCCTTACATTAGCCACAGGGCTGCCGGCCGCCTCTCATCTCTCTGTACGTCTTCATGAACCTTTCTCAGATCCCGGTGGATGTGCACTCAGATCAAAGTGTTTCAGGCCGGCTCACAGGGGGGTTTTATCATCGATGGAACAGATTGTCTCCATTTGAAAGTCTTTTATTGGGTTCAGGGGGTATAAAGCACTCACGGTGCACGTTTCTTGGTATATTACATTACGTCGAAGAGCGTTTTGACTGAAGTGCATGAGCTCTAAATGCATTTCTTGCTGCTTTTTGACATATTACTTCACTGAGCTGAATCTTGGAAGAACACATCGTCCATTACATGTCATTTGTTAGATGCTTTTATCCAAATCGACTTACAGTACTGTGGACAACCCCCACAGGAGCAATTTGGGGGGAAGTGTCTTGCCCAGGGACACAACGACATGCTGACTGCAATGGGACTCAAACTTGCTACTCCCTGATTCGAAGTCCATCACACCAGCCACTGAGCCACAGCCGTCCCTCAACTCTTTCAAAAATAACATTATTTTTAGCGATAAAAAGGTGAAACCACAATCGGAAAATGACAGCCGTGAAGTGAGCAGACCACCAAGAGAAACAGCGTCTGGTATCCACATCAGGATTTAGAAACATCTGTTTGTACGATTTATTTAGAGTCAATTCCAAAGAAAACAACCTCATTCATTTTGTTTGGTTGTTTTTCTTATCTGTTTTTTTAAATGTCTTATTTCATCTGTTTCCTTTGACTCCCCCGGACTAAGGCTTCATGCCGAATTGGTCTGAAATGTACAATTAAAATAAGGCTTTGATGAAAAAGAGACTGTCTCGGAGATTTGTTTTGATAGTATGATATTCAGCTAAATGTGTCCGTATAAGAGCACCAGAAACAAACTCCAGAAAAACACCTTATTTTCTCATCTTTTATTTGTTCTGTGTGTTTATGGTAATGAGAGCCATGTTTGTCTGTCCTCATGATCTCTAAATCAACCGACTTTGTGCAGACACCAGCAGGGGGAGTGGAAAGGGACTCTTATTGCAGACCTTTGATTGTGTTCATGCAATCCAACTTAAAGTCAGAGACAAACACGCCCCCTGCTGGGAGATCTGTGTGAAGACATTTTTAGTGATGAATTTACTTCATCAGTACATTACATGTCACTTGTTAGATGCTTTTATCCAAAGTGGCTTACATACTCAATACTGTGGACAATCCCCACAGGAGCAATTTGGGGTGAAGTGTCTCAGGGACACAACGACATGCTGACTGCAGTGGGGTTTGAACCTGTGCTCCCCTGATCCCAACACTAGACCACTAAGCCACACGCCTCCCTCATCAACAGCGTCTGCTTTGTTTCTGTTATTCTTAACATTGTATGTGACATTGGTTGATGTTCAATTTAATCAAACAATACAAAAACGTTAGTAAGCCAATGGTCATAAACCCCAGGTACAAGAATTAAGATTTTACACGTTGGAAAAAGTAGTTTTTTACATCCTTACTTTAGCTTTAGCTGCTGTAAAAGATAAGATCCGGATCACACATAATGGCTTTCAATTATATTGGATAAAATAATGTGAATATCTAAAGGGAATTCTGTGAAAATATCTGAAAACAGAGCAAAAATATGATACAAAAAGTACAAATGATTGTGATTTTTTTCAAAATAAATAAAGAACTCCTGTTCAAGATTCTCTCCATTAGTAAAAAAGAAAAAGGCTTCAGGGCAGCTTTATGATCAAAACGAGTTACAGGTAGTATTTCTTCCCGCTGAACACGTGTCTCCTCCTCCTCTGGTCCTCCTTCCTCCTCCTGCAGACCCTCAGAAGCTCAGCTCTGCCGGCTCGCTGGAGGCTGGTCGATGGGAACGTCCGGTCGGGGAAAGTCTCCTTCAGTTTGCTTGAGAAAAACTCCTCCAGACTGCGACCGGCCTGAGCCACCTCTGAGTCGGGCTGCACCGCAGAAAGAGAACATGTGAAGTATACAAGTAGTTTAACACGTTATGTATCCAGGGAAAGAAGATTTATAGACTAGTTTGCTCTCTCTCTCTCTTTGTTTACTTCCGTTACATAGAGAGGCGAAGTCCCTCCCTTTCCGGGGGAGCTCCATGGGACCTTATTTCGGAAAAAGTTATGCATTGAAGTCAATGGGGAGAGAAAGATTACCTTTCGATCCCGTTTGAATTGTGCCACGAATTACACATATGATGTTTGTCAATTTAAAAGATAATTTTGCAAAAAAAAGTCAAAATAAATAACACTTTTTTTGTGTGAAACCGCTCAATGAACTACATCTCCCGTCTCACGCACCACACACCCAGACGGCCGTCACGTTGGTACATTTCACTTCTTTCTTTCAGAATGAGGCGAAAA